GAAAGGATACTGAAGTCAAGCTTCCACGCCCGACTCGGGTCAAGAACAAGACTCCGGCTCCGGTTCAAATCACCGCCGAGCAGATTCTCAGAGAAGCTCGAGAGAGGCAAGAGGCTGAGATCCGTCCTCCTAAGCAGAAAATCACTGACTCCACTGAGCTTTCCGATTACAGACTCCGACGTCGGAAGGAGTTTGAAGACCAGATCCGCCGCGCGAGATGGAATATCCAAGTTTGGATGAAGTATGCTCAGTGGGAAGAGTCGCAGAAAGATTACGCTCGTGCTCGGAGCGTCTGGGAAAGAGCCATCGAAGGCGATTACAGGAACCATACACTATGGCTAAAGTACGCAGAGTTCGAGATGAAGAACAAGTTTGTAAACAGTGCGAGGAACGTTTGGGATCGAGCCGTTACGCTTCTCCCGCGAGTAGACCAGCTTTGGTACAAGTACATTCACATGGAGGAGATACTTGGGAATATCGCCGGAGCTAGACAGATATTCCAACGGTGGATGGATTGGTCACCGGATCAACAAGGTTGGCTTTCGTTTATCAAATTCGAGCTTAGGTATAACGAAATCGAACGTGCTAGATCAATCTACGAGAGATTTGTGCTTTGTCATCCAAAAGTTTCTGCTTATATTCGATATGCAAAGTTTGAGATGAAAGGTGGTGAAGTTGCTCGTGCGAGGAATGTGTATGAACGTGCCACTGAGAAGCTTGCAGATGATGAAGAAGCTGAGACGCTCTTTGTTGCGTTTGCTGAGTTTGAAGAACGATGCAAGGAACCAGACCGTGCTAGGTTTATCTACAAGTTTGCTCTTGATCATATTCCTAAAGGAAGAGCTGAGGATTTGTATAAAAAGTTTGTGGCGTTTGAGAAACAGTATGGTGATAAGGAAGGGATTGAGGATGCCATTGTTGGGAAGAGGAGGTTTCAGTATGAAGATGAAGTGAGGAAGAACCCTTTGAACTATGATTCTTGGTTCGATTACGTTAGGTTAGAGGAGACTGTAGGGAACAAAGATAGGATTCGAGAGATCTATGAGAGGGCTATTGCTAATGTTCCACCTGCTGAAGAGAAACGATACTGGCAAAGATACATCTATCTTTGGTGAGTTTTCTCTTTTTCAATTTGGTTTACTGATTTTTGACAATAACGCAGAACGATTTGAATTGGAATGCTAGGTTCTTATGTTGATCATGGTTTTTATAAGAAGCTTAAGTGTTAGTTTCCTGTAAATGAACTGTTTGAATTTGGTTGTCTTAGATAGATACTAGTTCTTATGTTAAATCATCTTTGTCGAGCTGATAAATCTGTTGTAAATGATTCTTGCGTTCTGTGGAAAGCTATTGTGGTTTGTTTCTCTTTGATTAGCATATTTGGTTCTGCGATTTACTCAAATACTGACACTGATGTAACTAATTGGTGTAGGATTAATTATGCATTGTATGAAGAGATTGAAACTGAAGATGTGGAGCGTACACGAGATGTTTACAGGTATGTTAAAGCCTATTCTGAAGCTTGTGAAGTTTACATTCATTTACGATTCACTCGCGGCAGTTTAGACTGACTATTTGTATTTGTCCTACCAAACATTTACAGAGAATGCCTCAAGCTTATCCCCCACTCCAAATTTTCTTTTGCCAAAATATGGTTGCTTGCTGCACAGTTTGAGATCAGGCAATTGAATCTCACTGGTGCACGGCAGATATTAGGAAATGCGATTGGAAAAGCTCCAAAAGATAAGGTAAGCCTGAAATTTGCTTGAACAATATTTGTTTCATTGCTCTCATTTAACCACACCCACATGGTTTATTTACATTCCGTGAATTTTTTCCTTCTTCTGCAAACAGATATTCAAGAAATACATTGAGATCGAACTCCAGTTGGGAAACATAGATAGGTGTAGAAAGTTATATGAGCGGTATCTTGAGTGGTCTCCTGAGAATTGCTATGCCTGGAGTAAGTATGCTGAGTTGGAGAGGTCTCTTGCTGAAACCGAACGAGCTAGAGCTATTTTTGAGCTTGCGATATCTCAGCCTGCTCTTGACATGCCTGAGCTGCTATGGAAGGTAAATTTTTCTGTCTAATACATTGAAAAGAAGTGAAGCTTTCTCAGTCTTTTGAACCGATTGGATCATCAAATTCTCTATTTTGTATGTGGCAGGCCTACATTGATTTCGAGATATCAGAAGGGGAATTAGAGAGGACACGAGCTTTATATGAGCGACTCTTGGACCGTACAAAGCATTACAAGGTGTGGGTTAGTTTTGCAAAGTTTGAAGCTTCTGCTGCG